TATTGACTCTAGGAATAAATGCTATTTCATCTTTATAGTTTTCTTTTTTCATTTCTACTTTTGCATAAGTTTTATTATGTGTGCAAATATTATTATGATAATATGTATGAAATTCTCAAATAAGAAAATACTAATATGTTGGGAGTACATGCTTATTAGATTTTTCTAATAATGTGGCATGATAAAAAAAAAAGTATAGAGACTATTAATTTAGGATAGTGAATCCTTTACCTTTTTCTTAATGGAAGGATCAGGCATGAGAGAAACTTAAATCAAAGATAATTAAGAGATATTATGATTAATGTATAAGGCATTTACTCAGTAGGAATGTTACTTTTTTAATTCTTTGTTTATTCCCTCTTCATTTTTTCCAAAATTGTACAATGCTTGGGGGAAAAAACTTATTTCAAATAAAATCCAGTGTAGTTTGTAATTTATTATCCAAACAAATAACAAAGCCTTTATTGTGAGTGATTGAACAATAAATGGAAAATCAGAAGCAAATAGATTAAGAACTTGTATTTCAATTATGTATATATTTATTTAACTCCAGTTATTGAAAGGAATTTTGTTTTCTCTAGCATTTCCTACTAAAATTCTGTGGACCTATTACTATTGCGCATTTAATTTAATTTATCAGGCTAGACATGTGCCTAATTTTATGGTCTCTCTGGTAACTATTACACTATTCTTACTAAAATTCATTTTCATCATTACAAATAACACTTTGCCTGGAACTGAGAAAAATTCTTAGATTTTAGCTTGTATAGTGGACAGAACACCAAACTTGGGATCAGAGGGACCTGGGTTCTAGGTTGTTGTCTCTCATACCTGAGTTCTAGATGTTGTCTCTCACTTATGAAGAACACTATCATGATATCGTAATTTATAAGCTTTAGTTTGCTCAGTAATAGTAATATAATATTATACTAATATAATATTAATATTAATATAAGATAGTAATACCTCTGTTCAGTGCCTTTTAAGGTTCTTTGTGAGGAAATTTTTTTTTGAAACTTTAAAATGCTATGTGAAGGAGAAATATTTTTTCCCAAAATTTTCCTGTTTAGTGCAATGTGTATTTCAGTGACTTTCAATAAATATTCATACCTTCTCAAGGGATGAGAGGTTTACATTGTGTGCCATACTTTCAGCTACATAACCCTCATTTCATGTAAATCATATAGAAAAAACAACTTTGTACTAGCCCACTGAGTGCCCAGGCCAAATTCCTCTACTGTCCATTTGCTCCACTCCTATTCACACTTAAGCATTCCCTAACACACACACACACACACACACACACACACACACACAGAGATATATCTTTCAATACTATTTATGGCACTAGGAAATATGCCCCATGTATAAAGCACCTCAGTAACTTCTTAGAGTTTAGGAGGGCAAAGGAAGGAAGCCAATGTGGAAAGCTGAGAAATTTATCTGGGTAACACAGAGCTATAATTTAGTAATGGAATCTAAGAGGTGGAGGGGACATTGCAAGTCACCCAGGCCATTTTACACCTGACAGAATCCCTTTCAACATCCACAACATTTGGTATTACTGCTTTCATTGGAATATCTCTGATGGCAGGAAACATACGACTTCTCGTGACATAGCCCATTCCACTTTGGGACTCAACTAATTTGTTAAAGATATTTTGCTTAAAACTAAACCTAATTTTGTTCCATACAACTCACATCCATTAATATAGTTCTGCACTCTGTGCCCAAGCAGCAAGCATCTAATCCTCCTTCCATGGACAATCATTTATTTGTTTTAAAGCAGCAATGATAAAAATATTAATATTTGGCTTACATCACATAATTTAGAATTAAAGAGATTATAGAGATCTAGATGATTTAGCTTAGTTTTGACTAGCTGTCCAAATCATTCATTTTAAAAATGAGAAAGCTGGGGCAACTAGGGAGCGCAGTGGATAGAGGTCTGGCCTTGGAGTCATGAGGACTTGAGCTCAAATCCAACCTCAGACACTTGACACTTACTAGCTGCGTGACCCTGGGCAAGTCACTTAACCCCAATTGCCTCACCAAAAAAAAAAAAAAAAAGCAAAAAAAAAATGAGAAAGCTGAAGTCCACAAAGGTTAAATGCCAACTCAGTTACACTTTGTTATTGTTCAGTCCTGTCTGATTCTGTGACCCCAGGTGGGGTTTTCTTTGTTTGTCATTTCCTTCTCCAGTTCATTTTACAGGTGAGGAAACTGAGGCAAACAGGGTTAAATGACTTGACCAGGGTCACACAGCTAGTGAGTATCTGAGACCAAATTTGAGCTCAGGTCTTCCTGACTCCAAGCCCAGTGCTCTATCCACTGTAACAAACAGTTACTTTTACTTGGAATCTAATTCTACTTTCTACTTTAAGATAATTAATTTAAAATGAACTAAAATGAACTTAAAAATTAACAAAAAAGATTAATATTGATCTTTCTACTATAAGACAAGGCCCAATCCCATTCAACATTTTAAAATACTTAATGTAGGCAAAGCACTGTGCTAGGCTTAGGGGAGATATGAAGTTTATATTAAAGCACTATGCCTGTCCTCACTTGATTGTCTTGAAGTTAGGTGCCTGCAAAGGACACCCATAGCTGAAAACCAGAATCACTCTAATCCAGCCCTATCTTTTCTCTCCAAACTTAATGGCTCCACATTTGTCTGAAATATTAGTGTTTTGCAACCACATGCAACAGAATTGAAGTCTGTGTGTGTGTCTGTGACACACTAAAAGTATGTATGAATTTCTTATGGTTATTTCTACTCTGCACATCAATTATCTTCTGTTAGCACGGGTAATAGGGAACATGCTCTGTTATTTAATGTCTCTATCACACACGTTCAGCTATCTGTGTGTAAAAACTTGTGCTGTATAAAGACGCTTGAGTTTAATTGACTTTATTATACCACAGGACCAATTAAATTGCTGTGGTTTCTAAGTCAGCAATCAGTAAACAAATCCCAGTTTTTATACTTGGAAATTTTAGGTCACAGGGTCAGAGTGAGTGAAGCCAATAATGAAGAACTCACTTTTAAATGTGTGTAATGTATCCATTTTGTCGAAAGAAGTAGGTTTGGAAATTTTCTACCATTGATCAAGTTTTACTAACATTCTTCTTTGATGAGAAATTTTGGGGAGAATGTAAATTTAGAACTTCAAAGGCCAGTAATAAAGAGTTGCACATTTTAGCAGCTAACAGAAAAAATGAGCTGTGAAATGCAAGGAGGAAAGGCTTGAGGACAGATTATGCCTGAAGGAGCTATAAACTTTCTTCTTAATGAACTAGCTGCAAATTTGTGATTTAAAAATTTAGACCATGGCCCTTCTTCTCCCATGTCCCCTTGCCACTAGCTAAGCTGTTAATTTGAAAAGAAACAATTTTAGTTGGATCAATTATTTTCAAATATCAATTAGGTAATAGTCAAGTGTTATTAAGCCTCTATTATTTGGAGTTAGAGAACTGATGCATTCGGATTTATTATTTATATTTTGGAGCTAAGCTTATTTTAGTCAATGTTGTTGCTATTGTATTTGTTTATTGGTTTAAAGCTATTATTTTGAATCATTCATTCCATTTAAAGCATGCAAACCACATCTAAGTCATTGCAAAGCAGTACTTGATTTTCATGCGAACTTATCAATCACTATACTATAAATTGCTGGGACTGGAGCTAAATTATTAGATATTTTTTATATAATAACTTAAGCTTCAAGGAGTATAATGGTCTTACCGTTTTGAATATAATCCTTAATTAAATAAGAAAAGGTATAGCAAAATGGATATTATATTTTTGTGAGCTATTCACAAGCAATTAACTCTAGATTTCAAAAAGTTTAACGTTCAATTATTTTTAGATTTGAAAGTATTTAGATTTGAAAGTCAGATTTGAATTACCCATTGCCATTAAGGTGTAGACAATTGATTATAGTCACTCACCTGAACTTCATATAGAAAATTGTACTTGTACAATGTAGTTAACTAAAGTTTTGACTATTGAGTCAGTCCAGTGTCAAACAGAATATATGGGAGTGTGACTATGCTAGTATGACACCAGCTGTATTATAAATGACATTTTAAATATCTGTTTTAGAATTTGTTTTAAATATCTATTTGTGTTTAAAAAATACAAATTGTATTTTCAGAATAAATTCTTTAGTTAGTAAAACCTGTAGCTTGATTCCAGATAATGAATAGGATTGAAATCTGCTAAATTATCTTTCTAACACAAGTCAGTATTATCAGTACAAATATAGATAGGTGGCACAGTGGATAGAGCTAGATCTGGAGTCAGGAAGACTTGTGTTCTAGTTAGGTCTCAATCACTGGGCAAGTTACAACTTCTGACTGCCTCAGTTTTCTTCCTTGTAAAAATGGATATAATAATAGCATCTACCTCCCAGTGTTGTGGAGAGGATAAAATGATATATTAGTAAAGCATGTTCAGATCTTAAAGCATTATGTAAATACCAGCTAATAACAATAATTATTTTTTCTTTTTGTGTGATTCAAGGAATCCCTCAAGTAGACCTGCTTAGCCATTGTGAATAATTTTCTGAGCTGATTGCTTGTAAAATATTTTGGGTGCCTTGTCATTAACAGAAAAAAAAAAGATATGCAGTTATCTATCAGAGCAGTGGATTAAGTAGTACTTTCCAAATTTATGAATGATTTAATTCAAACAGTAGGCAATTATGAAACCAAGTAGCACAAATTGAGGAACAAAGTAGCTTAGGTAAAAGCAAGACACATCTCCAAACTATGGTGCTCCTCTTTTAGTGAGTTAGCCCATGGTATTTTACATGCCATCATCTTTAAGTGGGCATGTGGTTAGTAGATTGAAAGCTGGGTTTGCATTCTTTTTTTTTTTTAAAGGACCATTTGAATTCTCAAGGAAAGTTTTAGGAAATCTTCCCTACATTGGGCTTGGAAAGCTTTTTTCTTTAACTGAAGATTGTATTTCCCTTTCCCCTTCTCTTTTTTAGCCTCTTTTTCCCAAGAAGAACTATGAATGCCTAACAAGCTGTGAGTTCCTGAAATACATTCTGTCAGTGAAGCAAGGCGATTGTCCAGCACCAGAGAAGGCCAGTGGTTTTGCAGCTGCCTGTGTGGAAAGTTGTGAGATTGACAATGAATGCTCTGGGGTGAAGAAATGTTGTTCAAATGGATGTGGACATACCTGCCAAGTCCCCAAAAACCTATACAAAGGTAGAGATCATAATTGGGCACTTGAAGGGAACTTGAACTTTGATTCATGAACAAAGCTGCTTAGAAATTGCTAGTTTGTTGTAGTTTCTGAACACAGAGAAAATTGAAATCTTAGAGGAAGAGATTATGTGGGGCATGGGGGGAGTTAAGCTACTACGTGTTTCTTTTGTGTGTTGTACAAACCACCTTAAGATATAGACATCTTGAGATGTCAGTAAACCATAGATATTGGACACAGGGAATGAAGAGCAAATTGGGCCTTGCACAGAAAGCCTTGTTTAGTTTAACCCTAATGAGAAGTGTTGAACCATTTTAACAGCTTAATGTTAAGTGGCCGTATTTAAATAAAACTGTTTGCCACTGCAATGAGACTTTTCAGGAATGTAATTATTTAAGTACTGTGGCATACCAAATATTTATTAAGCCAGTAGGCGACTAAACAAGCTGTGAAGTTTATTTGTACAAGAAATGTGAAACAGAAGTCTTTAAAAAAACTCTGTATACCTCAATTGTGTATTATAACTGCTGGTATCAAAGAAAGAATCTTATTAGATAAATTTGAAATCCTTTAACTTAGTATTCTAAAACATTAGCGAGTTTTTTTCTTTGCAAAATAACATATTTTAATGAAATCAAGTTTTTAATTAATTTTAACTTGCACTCTTCCAACATATGTCTGTTTTTAAAGAAATTGTAGAAAATCATGATTGTCTTAAGATTATCACTCTACTTTTGAGTCACAAGTGATCCTTTAGTAATTATTCCCAAAGAATTGGGATCCATTTGATTTGAGGTTAGTAATCACTTTTATAAAATGGCTGAACTCATTCTTTGTAGTCTGTTTTACAAGTCAAATAGTCTTGCTTTAACCTTCTTGGTCATGATGGATTAGAGGAAATATTAGATTTCATGGTCATATTGAAATTTTAGTATGGGTTAAATCATATTGGCTTAAGGATTATTTGACATTAACTGTTGCTAAGCTATTTCTATAAAGCTTACTAAGGTCTCTTGAGCCACATCTATAATGATTCAAGTCCTTGAATGCTAATACTATGACAGATGCCATTTGATCTGCCTTTTGGATAATATGAAGACTGAAAAAGAATGGGGAAATGCATCACTTAGGTGCTTGTTGTTTATGCCTGGTTAAAACAGAGAGAAGTACAAAGTGTTTATTACTTTATGTTGAGCTGTTATACCTACATATTCCATAGATTCTATTCTAGCCCATGGATATGTCAAAAGCTCTCCTTGTACTTACAAGTCAGCAAGGGGTAGGATTGGGAAAGAGCAACTGGATCTGAAATCAGAGAATCTCATTCTGCTTCTGGCTCTGTGGCTTACTACCTATTCAATCCTGGATTCATTACTTAACCTCTCTACTCCCTACCCCACTCCCACTGATGCAATAAATTCCAGTGGTTCCTTATTGTCTTAGGATCAAATATAAACTCCTTCGTTTTGTATATGAAGCTTTTTACAACCTGACCCTTTCCTGCCTTGTCTCTATTCTTACATGGTACTCCACTCTACCCACTCTCTGGTCCAGTCATACTGGTGTACCTGCTATTCTTCTCACAAAACATTCCATCTCTCATCTCCAAGACTTTTCTAAGATACTGCCTCATGATGCATCGAACTCAAGATATTGAGCATCCTAAGATCTGCCAGGACTTTTAGCATTCTATCTATGCCTGCAGGGCTTTCCCTTCCCATCTCTGTCCTAGTTTCCTTTATAACTCATCTCAAGTGTCACCCCTCAGTACCTAGTGCTCTCTTCTCAAACACCCTTGTATTCCTTTTGTTGTTTGGTTGTTTCAGTCATGTCTGACATTTTGTGACCCTATTTGGAATTTTCTTGGCAAGGATACTGGAATTGTTTTCCATTTCCTTCTGTAGCTCATTTTATAGATGAGGAAATTGAGGCAAACATGGTTAAGTGACTTGGCCAGTGTCACATAGCTAGTAAGTGTCTGAACTTGGATTTGAACTCAAGTCCTCCTGACTCTAGCACTGGTGTTCTATGCACTGCACCACCTAGTTGCCCCATTCCTTTTGTACATATTCTGTATGTATGGTCATACATTAGAATGTAAACTCCTCAAAGGAAGAGACATATTAGTCTTAGTGTCATCCTCTGTTCTTAACACAGTTCCTGGCACATAGCAGGTCCTGAATAAATATTGTTGATTGATGGTGGATACTAAAATTAATTGGACTTATCTAATTTGTGCAAATTCAATAAAACAGTTCTAATTTGCCATAGTTAAAGCCGTGTTTGACAAACATGTTTTCCATGTATATAAATGATTTCTGTAGGGGAGAAATTGAAAATTGATTCTGTAAGTTTCAAGATGTGTTACACACTAACTGAATTCTTGCATAGGAGATAGCAGATCTAGGTTCTAATGGTGACTCTTCTTCTAATTAGCTATGTGACCTTGGGAAGGTAATTTTACTTTCCTGGGCCTCAGATCCTTCATCTATAGAATAAGGGAGTTAAACAAAATGGTCTCTAAGATTCCTTCTTGCTCTAAAAGTTATATTAGTCAAAATGTTATATTCTTGGTACTGAAGTCCTGTAGAGTTTGTGTCCCTTTTAAATGCATTTGACCATTATGGGACAAATAGTTTAGAGTGCATGAGATTCTGATTTAATCCTATACCTGAGTAATCTATTCTTTTAGCATAAAGTAGATGTGATATTACACATCCCCTGGCATATAATTTTGGACTCAAATCATGGAAAGAATAACATCCCTCTACTGAACTGGCCATGTTTGTTTTGATATTGGTGTTTGGATGTGAGCCATAAAATACCTTACTGAGTGGGGGGAAAATTCCTTCCTTGTTTTCTCCAAAACTGTTCATTGATGGAGTCATATTGCTGAAGTCTTATTAGTAATAGTAATTTACTTGTTATATGATGCAAAGACCTAGAGTGGGCTTTCAGCTACTTTGTAATTGTAGGAACTTAGTGAATGCCATTATTTAAAATTATCATTCTATAGATTCTAAGAAGGGAGTGAAGCTATTTATATGCCATTGACCAAAAAATAGTAGTCTTTTAGGAAACATTGTTTTCTTAAATCATGTTGAGCTTCAGGCAGAGAATGCAAAGCAAGGAGACAGGGTGCCAGAAGGGACCAGGAAGGCCTCCACAAAACAAGTTAGATCAGCCAAATTAATACTGAAGATCAATGGAATAACACTGAAACATCCCAATTGTAGTCTTTCAGTCTCCAGTGTCTGGAACAGCACCTATTGCTTAAAAGACGCTGAATAACCATAGGTTGAATTGAAATATCAGTTTCACAATATTTACACATTAATGTTAAATTTACTTTTAATTTTTTTCGAGAGCAAATGTTATCATTGTCATAAGGGAATAAGGTATCCCATAGCATAACAAACCTAAGATCTTAGAGATGAAAAGAGTCTTAAAGATTATTCAATCTATTGGTTCCCAAACACCAGTCTTCATATCATTGCTGATTCTTAGTGGTATTGCATTATGAAAAAAAAATCACTACCTAAGGCTGTGACTTCCTAAAACCTATATACTTAAATTTTGTTGCTCCTCTTCCTTCTCTTTCTCCTTAAATCCTATATTTTGTGCCACTAAAAATTTCAAAATCAACATTGTGGAAGGCAGAGTAGTCCAAGTTGGAGAACTGAGATATATTACCAATATTAAGTACAGTAGATAATAATAATTATAATAATAACAATTATTACTAAATAACTGACCTGCACACAAATGTATATCAATTTAAAGTTTATAAAGAATTTTCATGCATTATTTAATTTGGACTTCACCACAACCATCTGAAGTAGTTGTTATCCCAACTTTAGAGATGAGGAAAATTGAGACTCAAAAAGAGTTCTGGTATTTGTGTATGGTCAAAAAGCTAATGTCAAGGATGGGATTTATGGCAAGGTTTTCTTAATTCTAAAATCAACAACTTTGTTCCCTGTGTTATGCAAGGGACAGGCATGTTGACACATCAGACAAGGTGACTGATTAGTTGATGACGTGGAATTAGAACTCAGGTCAACTAAGTCCATGATATGATGCTGCCATCATACCATTTACTTAATAGTCTTCTTGATCATGTTGAGGATATTCACTATAAGAGGACCATACACTTGAAAACACATTAAAAATTATAGTTATGACATTATAGGTATAGGGCACTCAAAATGAAGGAACTCCCTCCACTAGGGCAGATTAATAAGTATTCTGCAATTTGTCATCTTAGAGAGCTGATTGGGCATTTAATCATTAAGTACTTCACTTACGGTCACTAAGCAGAGATAAAACTATAACTCAGGTTTACCTGACTCAAAGCCCTTTTCTTTATCCATCACACTAAAGTGTGATGTGATAGACACTATCACTAAGTGATAGACACTGTCACTAAATAGTAGAAAATTTCATTCACAAATCATGCATATATATATGTATATATATATTTATGTATTTTTATATATATATATATATATATATATATATGTATGTATGTATGTATGTATGTATGTATATATATATATTTCCTGGCAGACTCTGTTTTGAGTCTAAGAAGTTACTGAAATGCCTTTTAAAATAATGATAGGATTTATTTTTATTTGAATAGTGATTTGTGGTCCGTATAACTCTTTACAGATATATTATTCTTTGTCTCACAACAGTCATGTAACATCTTTAGTAAAAAAAAATGTTATCTATTTTTTTTCTTTTTTGACTAGGCAATGGGGTTAAGTGACTTGCACAGTCACACAGCTAGTTAAGTGTTATATATCTGAGACTGGATTTGAACTCAGGTCCTCCTGAATCCAGGGTTGGTGCTCTATCCACTGTGCCACCTAGCTGCCCCAGTTTTCTCCATTTTAAAGATGAGGAAACTTCAGAGATCAAACTTTGTCAGGACCTACCTACTTATCAGGCTGGGAAAGCTTCAAATACAAGCTAAGTGAGAGATTATACATTTCTGTAATATAAGAGCTATCCTTGCTTAGTCTGTAGAGACTAAACACTAGAGAGTTGGCTACCAGGTGATTTTTTAAAAATTTGTTTGTTTTTGCTGCAGCAACTCGTGATGGCCATCTATTAAGGCATGGAAGAGTTGTACTTCACATCAATAATGTAATTATCCACATCAGTTATATCATGTAGACTTGAAATATTATAGTATTAATTCCAAAGATTCATATATGCTGCATTGCATGTATGCCTTAGTACAAGTGGCCCAGTGATTTAAATTTAATTAACTTTAATTTTGTGGAATGTTTATTATATTTATGAACTAGCATAAAGAGATGGTAGTGTGACTAGGGAGAAGAAAAAAAATCTCCACTTGATTTGAAGTCAGAAGACTTGAGTTCCAATCATAACTGCTGTTTTACTGCCTAGACACAGAGAAGTAATGCAGTGGAATCAGCACAGGGTTTGGAGTTAGGAAGACCTGAGTTCAAATCCAGCCTCAGACACTAATTTTGTGACATTGGGCAAGTCACTCTGCCTGCCTTAATTTCCTCAAATATAAAATGGGGAGAATAGTTGCACCTACTTCCTAGGGATGTTTGGACAATTAAATGAGACTATATACACACATATGTATGTATGTATGTATTTTTTTGTGTATATGTGTATATATATATATATATATATATATATATATACACACACGTACATATATATTGTTTACTATATATATACCACATATAATATCTATGTATCTATCTCTCTTACTGCAGTACCTGGCACATAATAGGTACTTAACAAATGTTTGTTTTCTCCATTTCTTCCTATTTGACCTTGGGCCACCAACTAATTAACTAAAGAGTATTTATTAAGAACATACTATGTGCCATATGTTAGGTTATGTTCTGGGGATGCAAATATAAAAATGAGATAATGTCTACACTCACAGAGCTTATATTCTACTAGAGAAAAATTATTGAATTTCTTTGTGCCTCAGTTTCCTCATTTCTAAGCTGAACTGATTGCACTAAATAATTTCTAAAGCCTGATATTTAAATAATGGTTAATCATTGAATTAGTGAATATACTTTAATATTACTAAATAGTACCTTTCAGTTTTGAGAATAAAAAAAAATTTGGCTAATCAAGCCACATCCATATCTGGTTTGGATTGTTCCATTACTCTATAGATACAGACTATATTTAGCATTTGAAAAGCAGCAGGTTACTACTACCTTTGATTATACTAGACTTCTTGGCACTTACTAATGTTTTAAAAAAAACTATTTTAGCACATTTTGGATATCATGTTGTTACAGCGAGACGTTAAAAATTCTTCAGCAGAAGAGGATAGATTTCAGAAAACTAATTTGTCCAAGAATAATGAAAAAGCCTCATAATTTACATAATGAAAAGCACATCGAGTAGTGATTGGATGTACACATCTGGTTATGAAATTGATGAAACTCGTTCTACAAAAGTAGACTCTAATGCACTTGTACCGGCTTCAGTTGTTTGTGCTGCTGGGATCCATCTGCACACAATTACATACACCAGAGAGGCTGAGTTACTTCCAATCAAGTGAATCCAACTAACCCTAATGCAAAGCAGATGGAAGCTTTCTTAACATGCAAATTGCAGGATTATTGTACATCATAATTAAAGAGAGATTTTTAAATGAAGAAATTTGAACTGACGTAGCCCATGATGCTCATTACATTAGATTAAGGCTGTTGGTTGCTGAATGATATCCAAGATCAAAACCTTTTAGAAGTGGATTTGGATGCTGGGATTTACTGCTGATGAGTTCAGATTTCTTCAGCAGCTACAGTATTTACTATAGTTTTATTTACTGTAAAGGATTACTGCATTGAAGTGCCATAGGGAATGGTCTATTTCTAGAATCCAGACAAGGTTCTTTATGAGTTTAAGAAAGTAAACAGTCTTCTTACTTTTTCCCAGTTAAAAAATTTGTTAGAAGTAAAGCAGATTAATAATATAAATTACTCATTATCCCTTAATTTGTACTATCCATTTGTTTACATCATAAAGTTCTATCCCCCTGCCCTTCCTCATATCATGCTGTCAAAAAAGAGGAATTGATTTAAACCTGGAGAATAGAAGATTGGGGATCAGGGAAAAAGGGGAAGAAAGTGAAAATAGGCATCATAGATTTCTTCCAATATTTGAAGGACTGTCATATGGAAGGACTGTCATATGTCATCAGGATTGTCAGGCTTGGCCCTAGATAGGAGAATCAAAGGTCAGTGGGTTGAAGGTGCAAAGAGACACATTTAGGCTTGAAGTCAGGAAAAACTATCCCAAAGGGGAATAAGCTGCCTCAGCACATAGTATGAGTTCCCCCCATTAGACTTCTTTAAACAAAGGTTTGTTGGGAATGTTGTAGTGTACATTCTCATTCAGATATAGGTAGGAGTGTGTTGGAACCAGCTCATATGGTAACAATCAGCTCATAATCTGATTGTTAAATTTTTGGTCTGAATATTTATAGTTTAGACTTTGGCAAATGCTACAAAACAGGATTTAATTTGTTATTTTGTTGATTGTCCAGACTTAACCAATTAACTTAATTAGCTAATTAAAATAATTTTCCACAGTCTCCTTATTTGCTACTTCATTTTATTTTAATCTTTTACTCATATATATCTTGTTTTTAGAGCAGTAGTAAATGAGCATTTTTTATTCCATGGGTTAAATTATGATGGAATTGAACCTAAACTGAGAATTATGTCTCATGTTAGCAGCATTTTTAGTCTATCAAAGGGAAGAAGTGACAGTACATCCTCTTCCTGAACGTTAGCTTGTGTGAACTCATTATTAAACTTCACTAAGACAAATGGAAACAATAGTTATCGAAAGTGATCCTGCTTTAAAGAATGACCCCAGAGAAAGAGTGGCTATAAAGATACTATTTCAGATTCATGAATCAGTTTAAACATTTTTAAAACAATGAGAAAAGTAAAGGGCTTACCATGACATAGACTGAGCTTTGTGTCAGATACTTTCAATAATAAAACATTGCTATTTAGGGGCCACTTTTATTAGGGGAAGTGAGTACCAATTGATTTAAGATTAGCTCTTCCCTTTGACGTGTTTTCCTTCTTAAATGCTCACCTCAGCTGAAGTCACACACAGTCTGTTTTAATTGACATACTTTTCTATGTTGTCATATTTCAGGTGTTCCTCTAAAGCCCAGGAAAGAGTTACGATTTACAGAGCTTCAGTCTGGACAGCTGGAGATTAAGTGGTCCTCAAAATTTAATATTTCAATCGAGCCTGTAATCTATGTGGTGCAGAGGAGATGGAATTATGGAATCCATCCTAGTGAGGATGATGCTACAAATTGGCAGACTATGGCACAGGTTAGTCCCTTATGGAATATCTTTCTTTTTCCCTTCCTTCCTTCCTTCCTTCCTTCCTTCCTTCCTTCCTTCCTTCCTTCCTTCCTTCCTTCCTTCCTTCCTTCCTTCCTTCCTTCCTTCCTTCCTTCCTTCCTTCCTCCTTTCTTTTCTTTCTTCTTTCCTTCCTTCCTTCCTCCTTTCTTTTCTTTCTTCTTTCTTTTCTTTCTTTCTTTCTTTCTTTCTTTCTTTCTTTCTTTCTTTCTTTCTTTCTTTCTTTCTTTCTTTCTTTCTTTCTTTCTTTCTTTCTCTCTTTCTCTCTTTCTCTTTCTCTCTCTCTCTCCCTCTCTCTCTCTCTCTGGCAAGGGGCACTTCTACTACTCACATAAAGCCTTAACTTGCTGAATGATCAAGGTACTTCTTACTACAGATATAACAAATATCAGATGCTGAAAGAGTAACACATGGAATCAGAGGAAGAGATAATACCAAAGAATGGAAAAAAAACCTAAGTGCTGACTTAGTTCATTATGGTGTGGTAGATGGAACAAGTAGACTTAGAGTTGGAAGGCCTGGATTTGAGTCTTGAATCATAGGATCTCAGATCTAATAAGGGCTGAAAGAGAACTTGGAGGCTCTGTCCTTCATCACGTGATTAAACTGAGGTCCAGGAAAATTTGGATGACTTGCCCAATGTCATACAGATAGGAATTGTCAGAGGCAGGATTTGAATCTATAAAGCCAGTCCTAGCTCTGTGACCAGAGGGCCACTTCCCTGTCTTCTGTAGGTCTCAGTTTTTTCATCTGTAAAATGAGAAAATTGGACTAGATACCTTTTAAGGTCTCTTCTTGATCTGTCAGACTATATTTCTACGAAAAAAATATAAAAATGTAGTATCTGAATAACAGCATTTCATTTCCTCTAAGACCTATGTTTCTTTAAAAGTCAAATTGAAACCTACTGCAAATAAGCAATACAACATTGGTTGCACTGGTGAATTTAAATTTGGTAATTTGTCTCATGACTCTTCCATTTCTGTTCAACTTATACTTTTCTCACTCTGGAGGATCTGAGATGAATGAGTATGAGATGCCTATCCCCAAACTACTTAATGGGAAGGAGCCAACAGGTCATAAATCTTGACTAAGTGCTTTCCTTGTTTTGGTGTGTTTCTTAACGTATTGGTGGCCCACCTGGATGGCAGTGCTCCAGACATTTATCTTAACATTGCTTCCTCCTTCTCTCCCTTGTTGATGAGGAAAGCAAAATATTTTTTTTCCCTTAAAGAGTTGTTAAATGGCTACCAGCTGCAAGAAAATAAATGGAGGGAAAGAAAAATATATTTTGAATGTGGAGCTGATTCATGATTTTTTTTAAACCAACTAGAGTGAATTCTCTGCACTTCTGTCTATAGATTTTTTTTAAAGTTCCCTTCAAATTTAAGTGGTAGTTCAGGCCAGACTCTCTCTCTCTCTCTCTCTCTCTCTCTCTCTCTCTCTCTCTCTCTCTCTCTCTCTCTCTCTCTCCCTCCCTCTCTCTCTCTCTCTCTCTCCTCTCTCTCTCTTCTCTCTCTCCTTCTCTCTTTGCAATGGCAATGATATGAGGTATTTTTTAATGAGCAATTTCTTTTCTGAAAAAAACATTATCTTTTAAGAATAAGGGATCACCACAGAATGTATTTAAGGATTTCAATATGGACAAAAGAGGTAACATGGCTCAATGGATACAGAGTTGGCCTCAGAGATAGAAAGACCTGTAGTCACTCCCTGTCTCTAACCCATACTGACTGTGTGACCCTGAGCAATTCACTGAACCATTCAGTGCCCCCAGGCAACTCTCTAGTGAAGTATATGCACTGATTGGTAAAGGGAGTTTCCTCACCCTATAGCAGTGCTGTCAAACTCAAGTAGAAAGGGGAAGCCCACTAAACTCTACAGAAGCATCCTGGAGGACTGCATATTCACTTAGAAAACCACATATTAATATTAGCCGTGTTCTATTGTAGTTTTGTTTATTGAAGAAATTCCAAATGCATTTTAATCTGATTGGGGACACACTTAGGAGTGTTGCAGGCCATAATGCAACAGCTATTTATTTGTATGTTTGACATCTCTGCACTACACTAAGGAAATTACAGATCTGGACAAAAGCAAAATGGAGAAGTGAGAAATTTTTCTCTAAAACTAATATCACATAAATGACAGAATATTAATTTTAGTCACAAAACATCCCAACCCAACTCTCTTCTCTCCCTAGTTTATAGCACATAAAACTTCTCAGAAAAGTTTTGATGGTGGATATCATATGTGCCCTTGAACAGTTATGTGGTTGCTTTTCTCAACCATCAAAGTTTGAAGGGCTAATCATTGTAACTGGGTGAATGGTAATTTATTTATTCTCTTTACAGAGAAAAAACTTTGAATTCTTTTTCCCCCTAGTGAAGGCCAGAACTAATGCTTCTTTGGCATCTGCCTGATGCCATGAACATAGTTCAATGCTTTATAAAATGTATGTATTCATATGTCTGTATGTGGGCATGTCCATGTTTGCATGTGAGCATATTTGTGTAAGTCTGCCAGACTTTTTGTTATTACTCTATGATTTCAAGGAGATTTATCACAGAATCAAAGAATTTCGGAATTGGAAGGAACCTCAAAGCCAAATTCCAATTCATATGTCCAAAAGAATACCCACTAAAATACCTTACAAATGGTCTTTTAGACTTAAAAGCTTTCTGTGAATGGGAACCGACTACTTTCCCAAGCCAGCCTATTAGAGTTTTGGAAAGATCTGTTTATTAGGAAGTTTTGTTTTTTTCAAACATTTAGCCTAAATTTGCTTTTGTGCAACTTCCCCCTACTCATCCTAGTTTTGCCCTCTGGGTTCAAATAGACCAAGTCTCAAACCTCTTCCATGGCTACAACATCTCTCTTAAACTTGTATAATAAGTATTTTTAGTTACCTCAATTGATCCTTAGATGGCATGGTTTCAAAGCCCTTCACCACTCTGATTGCCCTCTTCTGGACATACTCCAACTCATTAATGTCCTTTCTAAACTCTGCTATGCGGAACTTCTACAATACTCCAGTTGTGTTCTGACAAAGATATTGTACAGTGGGGTTCAGACTCCTTTATCCCTGGACACTGTCTCTATATAGCCCTTGATTGTATTAGTTTATTTGGCTGCTCTATTTCATTGCTGATTTATTGAGCATTCAATCCACTAAAATAATCTCTGATATTTTGTTTCAGACAAAATACTCTCTAACTTTGCTTTTGCATCTTGTACTTATTTCTATGTGTGTATGTATATAGAATGCTATAGCTATAGATAGTGTATATACATCTATGTATTTATGACTCAAGCTTCAGATTGTATTTAGGAAAGATAAAATCTCTAATTCTTCCAAAATACATTCTGAAATCAAGTAGGAACATCTATGTGCCCTCTTTTATCTGTGACTTCCACAGGTAATTGAAATGCTTGACAGGTATTTTTAATAATATTTTAAAAATACTTCTCTGTGTTTCAAAGAAACATATCCATCTTTTGGATCAGTTATAATTAAGCAAATGCATACCTTCAAATCAGGGGTTTTTACATCATGGATTTATTTGACAGTTTGATGAAAACTATAGATTTCTTAGACTTTTTTAAATGCTTAAAATAAAATAAACCAATTGGTTAAATATAGTTATAAAAATATTTTTAAAAAAGGTTACAGATCTCAGATTAGGAATCCCTGCTGCAAATGAATGCACTTAGGACCAGGAGTAAATGAAAACCAGTGCCAACTACCTTGATTTCTTGAAATGCAAATGGATGGTTGGTCATCCCTAGAAATGTAGGAATAAAGTTTCAATTAGAAGTAGAAATTAAATGCTTTAAAGTATTTTTCACATGTTCAGGAAGGGATATTTTGTGGGGGAAAGATATAGTTGTTATCGTCTTTGAATGTTGAATGTTAATGTTAATGTAAAATATGAATGTTAAACATTAGACATAATATTGAATTATCTTAAGAATTGTTCTTGAGCTCTATCCAGGCTAGGGTGTGGGTTGCTATGTATTTCCTGTGTGCTACAACGGTGATTAAATAAAGCAAAATATTAATTTATTAGTTACCCCCTAGAAAAGATAATTATACATGTAGGAAAATCCACAGTTTTAAAGTCTCTGATTTTATTTTTAATAGGTAAACTCTATCTTCCAATTCATGAATACATGCTCTTAGCCTGGCCTCTAATTTAAAAATAAATACTTTATAAATGTATCTTATGAACATTCTTATTCAAATAAATGAATCAGCACCCAAATATCATAAAACTTGTTTTCAGAGATCTTGTTATGAAGCATCAATACTTCAGACTTTTTTTTAAAGTCCTGGATATGAAGTATCAATAACATGAGTTCAACTTACTCAATTTTCCCCCTGGACGTTCTGCAGTTCTAAGACTTCCTTTGATCTCTAACCCCAGTTTCTATAATTGAGCATGATTAGTATTTACTTAGAAGGTCAAAGGTCTTACAGGTCAAGACTAAGGTGCATTGGCCAACTGGTTGGTGGATGTCTGAATAAACCCAATTGACATGTCAGAATAAAAAGAGCCTGTGTGTGTGATATGACATTTTCCCCTTCAGACTACTGATGAGAGAGTTCAACTGTCTGACATAAGACCTAGCAGGTGGTACCAGTTCCGAGTGGCTGCTGTTAATGTGCATGGAACAAGAGGCTTCACAGCACCCAGTAAACACTTCCGCTCCTCTAAAGGTTAGTGTTGGTTTCCTGCCTCTGACGCTCACCTTCGACTTGGTCACATATGGAATGCAACTTTGCCCTTTTAATGTTTCATATTTATAGTTTCCAACAGGTGGGCATTCTGTATTTAGCCATTCATTTTTGCATTGGGTTGAAATCTGTTTGAAGTTGCCGTGCAAATTTATGACTAAGGATGTGTTCTTTTATCTGTAAGGAGACTTGACATAAATTGAAAGGAGGTTTAATACCCAGATCTTCTGACCCAAAGTCTTCTTTTAATGAAACTAAATCTTAGGATCAATTTCAATGAGTCAATAGATTAAAGTATGAAAGCTTCTCTTTATTTGATTTGGGAAGGATAAATTTTAGGTTTAGTCACATAGACATTCATCACTGATTTCATAAATATCTATCACTTTAATTAATATAGAAGTAATACTTCCACAAAATTTCTTGATTTTGGTTAATAATATTATTCATAAGTAAAAAGACTTTATGTCCCCTGTCTGACAGTTTTACTTAATTCCTTATCTATAATAGTTATCTTACAACCTGGTAGACAAATTATGATTTTTTTAAAGTTACATTTAAGAATTGGCTGCAGGAAGGAGGATTCATTTGGTCTGTGACCCTATGGCAAGCACAACAGATCATCAGGCCCCTCCACATCAGTTCCCTGCTGCTCAATCTGCAGTACCCTGAATTGATTATGTAGCCATCTGGATAGGTCATCAAGATACAGCTGTTAGGCCATCCACAGCCATAGGCTCAGTTGTGTCATTTGTGTACTGTTCAAGACTTACCTTACCTTAATTTTTCAGATTTTCATTTTTTTTCATTGCATGGTAATAGCAACAAATAGCAAAAAGTCTAATTTTAATCTTCATTAATGCAGAAAGTGCTGTGCCTTGGGTTATGAAACCATTTTGACTTCCTGGTTTACAATACATTGGAGAAGATCACTTGATGGGAAAAAATGTTTTCCTTGGGCCAAATTTTAGCTTTCAGAAAGCCTAATTGTGTTCTTATACGCACAATCTCTGTTAATTACTCTGTGAGCTCCATGTATACAGTACATGTATTGTACTCGCAATTGATGCAATTTAAAACAGGATATTTAATATACCATGAGATGGATGTTTAGCTCTTTTAAAAAAAGCAACATAGAAGAATTGGTATACTTTTATTCAGAAAATATAGGAAGAGAGTAGAAATGGGAGTGATATATTTTTAAAGTAGGAAAAATAATTTTAGGTAGGTGACTCCCATTAACATCAAACAGACTTGAATGTTAGTCACCTTTTAAGAAGCATGTGTATACGTAAAGCAGGTGCTCTGCATAATTTATGGAAGAGTAAAATAACTGATTGAGATAGGGTAAATAATAATAGAAAAGGATTATAGAATGTTTTATCTCTATATTGCTAGATTCAATGTAATCTTGGCCTTTAATTGGTAAAGGTTGTTATCATCTAATTAGCTATATGAACCATATGAACTGACATAGGACAACTCTTTAGCTCTGAATATCAGAAAAGAAGCAGCTAATAGTGCCTCTTTACAGTTTTTATAATTATGGACTGATGCACAGAGAACCACATCTGTCACAAAGGTCTTGGTGACCTGGTGATATAATGAAGGCTGACATTATATTCTTTGTTCAATAGATTCAGCAAAATGTTGCCTAACTCAATTTGGTCCTTAGGAGTCCTCTTCACATTTCTAAGGGCAGTTTTATTAGTAAGCAATTGTCATGTGGTAAAATTTCCAGGAAGCATTTACTGCTCCAAAAATCCTCATCAGTTTTCTGTTCCTTATCACTCCAAAATTTGAATTATGTTCCTTTTGCTTAAAACCCAACCTTTGTTACCTCTTATATAAGAACTCTTTAAGAATTAATTTGTTCATTATGTGACTTTATGTCATACAATATAGTTTACCATGTCCCATTCATAAAAGTAAGCCTGCATAGGAAATAGGATGGAAAGGAGAATGAAGATATTAAAATAGTTTTACCTACTTTATAATTTTGCTTATCATAAGAAAAAGGAGAGCTAATGTGCAGGATGACAAAAATAGGGTCTGAAATGGGTATGGACAATCTGGTGTAATGGGAGGAATAAAACTAAATTTATCTTTTAGAAATGTTAATTCTCAATAAAAGCTAAAAAAAAAAATAAACAACCCTACTATATAGTGCAAATTGGAATAATATTGTTATATAGTAGTTACTCTGATAAAAAAAAAAAGAGTACTTTAGTGGACCTCAAGCTCAGTCTGATCTAATAGGTAATGTAGCTGCCAGTCAAAACAAGTGTGAAATTAGGTTTCATAATATCCGGAAAGAGGGAGGTGATATATCCTAATTCACATTGATGGTTATTCCAAATCAGGTATATTGTATTTAGCATTCAGTCCCATATATTAGGAGAATGATGAATAAATTCTGGAATATGTCAGGGAAGAATTATAAGGATGTTGAGGAGATTCAACACGTCATCTATGATCCAACTAAACTGGCACCCTTTTTGTTCCTCATATGCAACATTACATCTCCTATCTTTGTGCCTTCACACAATATCAGAGTGTTATATAAATGCTAGCTCTTGTTGCTATAGATGGAGCCAGCAAAACCTTTTTATTTTTAGAAATGTCATTAAGTCAGAGCTATACATTAGAAATATTAAGCCAATGGAAGTATGGAGGATGGCTTGGAGATAGGACCCTGGAGTATGGAAGACCAATTGGAAGGTTATTATATTCATTTAGGGAAAATATAGTGAGGGCCTGATCTAGGGTAGTTGTGTTGTCCATGGAAAGGAAGGAATAGATATTGCAGAGGCAGGATCTACACAGCTTGGGAACTGATTGGAATTTGAAAATTAGAGAGGAAAAAGAAAAGAAGTCAGAGATAATTTTTAAAGTTCTAAACCTGAGTAACTGGAAGGATAAATGGTGTTATCAACTAAACAGATGTTTGTAAGAGGTTACCATTTAGGAGGAGTATTGTGAATTGAATTTAGGGTATATTAAATTTGAAATCAAATATTCAAGTGGAGATATCTAAAAGGAAGTTGAAAATATCAGAATGGAACTCTGGGGAGAGGTTTGATGGTAGATATGTAGATATGTTAATCATAATTAATAATCATTAGTCATAGAGGTATTCACTTACTGGATGATACCACCAAACCAGAGCATATAGAAAGAAGAAAGCAAAAGAAAGAGCCTCAGAAAACATGCACATGTTAGAAATGGGATGACTAGCCCATAAAGGAAATTGAAGAGGAGAAGTTAGAGAGGTAGAATTACCACAAGATGTTTGAAGCCATTTCTGGAGTCAAAAAGGTAGATCCAACTTTTTTGTTACTATTAAGGCATGCTTAACCCTAATAAAACTTTTTCAATCATTTCTCTTATTTAATCAGTGCAATATTAAAATATAATGTACATTTGTGTGTAGATTTTAAAGAATACTAACTTTTTAACTTGATTTTAATAGAATGATGTTCTAAGATACTAATTTGGAAAATAATTTAAGAAAGGGGTCCTATTTAATGAACTGGAAACCATCCTCTTTTCATATTCCCACAGGTATTTTCATTGAATATTAGTTGTCTGTAGACTGATATAATTGAATTATGTTACAGCAGTAATCCTACTGAGGAAATTAATAGAATATAATTTTATGTATTTACAGAAAGGAGAAGTAACAAGTATTTAATATTAACCACAATTTATAAAGAAATGGTCCATTGCTCCTCTTTTTCTCTTCTTCCTTCCTGAACCAACTTATTTACCCACTCTGTGCTATAACAGTATAACAGTTAAATGCTGTTATTTATGAGATTTGCTATGATAAAGGGTTGATTTTAAAAATCACCATTTCCAAAATAATAGCCTATGTCCTGCTTTAGAGAGTATATAGTGAGGGATAAATAACTATCTAATCTATATTAGTTGTGTAGACACAAAATTTGTATGTTTCTAGTAGGGTAGTTGGTCAATACACATTTATTAAGTGTTTTGTAGGTTCCAGGTACTGTGCCAAATATGAGGAGTACAAATATAAGCATAAAGGAAGACAATTCCTGCCCCCAAGGAGCTTATATTTTAATAGGAGAAGACAACACATAAAAAGAAGCTGAAAAGGGAGGGGTAACCAGCATGTGGGTATTATAACCTTGTGGAGATGGATTAGCAGTGCAGCAATGCAGAGGAATGAAGACATTATTGGCCTGGGCCTCTCCTCCTTAAATTGGAGGTTCTGAGAGGATCTTACCAGTGAGAGGGAGATTGTGTAGGAGCGGTACTTCCCAATATGAGAAATTGGCCAAGATTAGAGTGAGCTTTCTGGGTAAACAGGTTCGAATGGCATGGTAGACAAAATCCTATGGAAATGAGTCAACAGTACAGCCTAGACAAGGAGGAAAGAAAAGGTGAATATTTTCCATTTGCCATTCATTTTCATTAAAGTTAAATAGAACTGGAAGAGAAATGTATAGAGTCCATTTAATTTCTTTTCGTCACACTGCCTCATTCCCACAGGCTATAGAATTTGTTTTCATAGGAAATTCAGGCTATTTGATGTTTTATTCATATGGTAGTGTCTAAATGAAAATCTGGTTTGATTTTTTTTTGAATTAGCTACATATTATTTAGTTCATTGAAAACTACCAAACCAGTTAAGTGTGTAAACAGCCTCCTGTCTTCTTAAAAAACTTTTATTCTGCCAACTTCTCCACACCAAAATGTTCTTTGCATAGTGAGTTTTTTATTATTTATGAGCTGATTACTTGGTTGATATATTTTCTTATCCCCTTCTTCTTCCTCCTACCTCCTGCTGTCTGCCTTTTGGTTATCTCATTACTTGCTGTTATTTCTGCTACAATGTATGTAGGGTCATAAAGTAGGCCAAACTTCAATTACTTTTACCTAATTGTTCATAGTATCAGCTAAGTAGATTGATATTATTGGGAACAAAAGCAATATGGGGTTGATCTTTGTATTTC